GTTTTTAAAAAATCCTAGATTAACACAAAAATTATTTCAAATTCATCTTACTTGAGGCTTGCTAGTGTCTTGATTACAGCAAAATCTTTACGCTGCTTTGATGGAATCCAACGATGCTTTTCAGCCAAAGCTAGAGTCCTTGATCCAAAGCCAAACATAGAAGAGAATCCAAAGCGAAGGAGCTTGATTGGGCTACTAAAAGTGCACATATCCACTGACTGTAAATGCCCTAAAATACAAACATACATATACATATGTCTATTTACATTTTATAAGTGAACTCACTTCCTAACTCTATTATATCTGCTAATTGTATAGGGGCAGAGGGATCAAAATCCTAGAACACAATTTTGTACAAGAAACAGAGTGCATGCCTGTGTTTATATAAATCAAGAGGAGTGTGTCTTGTGATCTTCCAAGGCATTACTGCATGCACACTGAACTTAAATGGGACACATAACCCTCAACAAAAACAGCACCCAGTACAACTATAACATTACAATAAATTAAAAGCAGGTAATATAAATAAAAATAAATAAAAGCAGGGGAGAGAGCATTCCAGAAAGTGTGTGTCATCCCACAGAAGATCTGAATCATAATTTGACAAATGTTGGATATAATCCTATTTATTCCAGTTATAAAAAGCAAGGCCACTAGATATTTAATATTATATTCCTCTCTAAAATTTCAGATGGACAGTACTTACCCAATATTATATGCAATGTTGCTGTTCGTGTGTGTTGGATTCCATTCAGAGTATGTGCCAAAATATTAGTAGATCCTGTAAATATTAAAGAGAGAATAACAAAAAAGGAAAACAAAGTGAATAAACTTCCCCATATGAGAATATTTCAAAATGAATTCTCTAGCCCAACACGAAGAATTGTTAAACAAAATTTACAAATGCGGAATGATCTCCAAATTCAAGAAAGTCAAGAAAGATTTAATAATACAATGGCCTGCCTCCTTATGCAAACATGAGGTTTTACCATTGGCACAGTAATGAACTCAACCATCAGATTAAGTTTATTGACCATGTCTTTTCTTGGCCATGAACATCTAATTCAACTGAGTATCCAGCTATTTAAAATGTAACATTGAACTCATTCTTCATTTATACCTTGATATTGCAGGTAGCAGTATTAAAAACTATTATTCCATTTCTGTACTAACCCAACCAATGAAATACAATAGATTTGGTCTTCCTGATTTTTAAATTATTACCTTTGTGGGATTTGTTTTTCCTTTCTAAGATTCTAGCCTCAGAATCTTCAAAGCAAGGCAAACTCTCAGTGCTTTCCATATAGAACAAGAGTGAGCTCCCACAACTAACTATAAAGAACCCCAACAAGTTTACTTAATAACACTAAGAATATTTAATGATTTTGCTTAGTATACAAATAAAAGGGCTCAATAATGTCAAGATAATTATACTGAAGGAGCTCCAATTTTGTTTTTGGGTTCAGTAAGTTAGGCTCTGTCAAGATCCAAGAATTCCCAATTTAAGTAGTTTTGGCCTGATTTGGGGGGGGGGGGGGTTGCTGCTGTTGTTGTTGTTTGACTTACTGCACTATGTGAGCCAACTATTGTTCACCAATTAAGCAAATAACACCTTACTGTAATATATGAACAAAGTCTTTGTGTTTCTGATTCAGACCCTCACTAAGCAAAGACTGAGAATTATTTATTACTTCATTCATTATTACAATTACTATTCTCTTGGTTAACCTTTATTTGGCATTAAAAAGATACTAGTATATAACAAATATTGATCAAGCATTTATAGTTACAAGTCTTTAGAGTTACAATATATGACACGTAACTGAAAATAAAGACTACTTACTCCTTGGGAGATTCAAAATTTCCTATTTCCCTAGTGACAGCTCTGGGCAGCAATACTAAGGACTACTTATTAATAGCTATCACGGAAATGTTTAAGCTGTGGCATTTCTTCTCATCCTCTATTGCAACATGTATTCCAAAAAGTGGCACAATCTACAATCTTTTCTGCTTAATGCTAATATTAAATTACTAACCAATTTTTATTCTCAAGGATGCCAAGCAGCAAGCGTAAAGGCAGAAGTATCTATAGTTTATGTAAAGCATGACTGATAAGATACCAGACAGAAATTGTGAAGGGAAATGTCCTTGGAAGTACAAGCACTCCTGCAGAACAATTAACTTAATTAACCAGACATCATGAATATTCATAAGTCTGTTAATGTCTCCCACATCCAAATAGATAAATGTGATGTAATGGCTTCCTAGTCAAGCATATCTAAGAGACTCATGAAAACTGCACCAACACTGTGATGCTTTGCCCAAACCATAATGGAAGCTAAGTCTCATAACAATATTTTACTCTCCATAAATTAATTGGAAGCAGGAATGCATTGCAAATGAGTGATTTAAGGGTGTAAGATTTATAGTCAATATATAAACTTTCCTTTGTTTTATTGCAATTAAATTGCTTTTCCCTTGTCCTCCTAGTTTTTTTCACTCCTTATTCAAATATCTCTACTGACTTCTTTAGCTATCATTCACATTCATGTCTTATGTGAATGAAAGCTAAGGAACTCAATAGAGAGATAAACCCTATTCTTATATAGATAGCAAGACAACTGTAGGCTTCCTTCATCTGATCCCTTTGATTTTGTCTATAGTATAAATTTATTTAGTATAGATCTCAAACTCATACAGAAACATCTTTGCCCAAGTAAGTATGTATATGTATGTGAGTATATACATCTGGGAAACAATTTAGCATATACTGCCTATTAAAATTTAGGAGGTGGGTCATACGTAACATCTCACTCAAAACTATATTTTCACAACTAAACTCAGATTTAGTCATTCAAGTTTTGCAAAAATGTATGAAACAAACATTCTAATACCAAATGTTTTAAGTAGAAAAAAGCACCTACTTCATAGTCTTTGGAAAGTCTACCTTCACTAAATGTACTTAAAACAAACATTTAAAAATTAAGACATGTGTTAAGTGCAGCTTAAACAAATTTCACCTCCTTCCAGCCTGACAAAAGTGAGAGAGAACTTTTATTTCTGTCACAGATCTATAATGACACAAAACATCTCACTCACTTCTAATAAACCTCTACTTAAAATACCAATAACTAAACATTATTAAAGGACAGAGAGCAAGATGCTAGAAAAATGCCATCTCATTCTACCTAGACCACTTTTCTACCAGCTATAATCAGAGTGTTTAATCATACTTTCTTTCCTATAATTTACATTATTTCATGTTTCCCACCTACCAACCACTTTACTCTAACTCAGAAAATACTTTTATTTGTAAATTGGAAATCCACAAACCAGAACAAGACATGTATCATCCCCCGGGAGAACTGATTTCTTTTCCCCCTGTGCATCACAATCCGCTCCAGAGAGCCGGGGTCTTCCAGAGAAGGTCTGATGACATGTAGGGAAATGCGAGGGGAGAAAGAACTGCAGTCTCCTCCTTGTGTGAAAGTAGCCCAAAGAATTTTGCTATCTATTTTAAACTTCTACTTATGAAGGCAAACAAATGAAGTAGCACATAAAACAATGGCTCTAAATCATCTTTATAGGTGATGAGTGATATGAAATATCTGACCCTGATAAACTAGGCTACAGAGGGATCTTCTCACCCAGGGTTGCCATCTCTATGCATGTGGATCTCTCAACAATTAACCAGGGTGCTAGTTCAAGTTTGCTGCCTTCTAACCATTGTTCATATAGTGAAACCGAGGCCAGTATATTTGTTATACTTCCATAAATGGTCCTTGAGTTAACGCAAAGACTGATTTTATAGGCACCCTACTTAAACCTGGGAGAATGACAAAGAAAATAATTTCCATAGCTAAAGACTACTGAATCAACAAGGCAAACAATGTATCACGGGTTCATCTGAAACACAGGGTAAGAAAATAATAGCAAAACAGTATGCATTTTAAAAAGATTATATACATATTATCAAATCTATAAGAGATTCTTATGTTATAACATGCAACCTTCTTCATATTAACTACTATGCATTTTCACCTGCTGGTATTATCCCAAGAGGAATTTGCGATCTGACTGGTACAAGTGCATTATCACAGTTCTTTCCGGCATCCACCTGGGCTCTAACCAAAAGACCATGAGCAATCTCACTGACAGTGCCATCTCCACCAACACAGACCACCCTACAAAAAACGAATTGTAAAATATTACATGTAAGACAATTTAGAGTCAAGCATTAGAAATGATCAGGTTGAAATTTATTATCTTCTCCTGATAGCTTATTAGCCATTAATGTTTACCTCTACAAATAAAATAACTTCCAGCTTGATTTTTCTGATGGTCATCCAATGTACAACATTTTTAAACAATCACCCTTCTATGCAATCCTTTTCCTTCTATGCAATCCTTTTTTCCACAGTTTTCCCTACCATCAATCTGCACTGCATCCTAATAATGAATTTTATAAAGTACTTCTCACGTTATAATTAAAAAGCCATCCCATTTGTAATAGTAATTAATTTTTCAAAAACTCATCTTTATTAAATATTGTAATAAGGCATGAATTCTGTCAGATGAAATGCCTTAGAAGATATATCAAATATGAGTCAAGAGTTATTGAGTAAGATCCCTTTCTGACTCCTTTTATTTCTGAAAAATTTCCCCATTTAATAATTTCTCAAAAAGCCATGCCATCTATATGGCATATTACTGAAAATCTAAGCCTACATTTGCAGATCCAAGTGGAAGATAACAGAAATGAGGAGTAAGATTCTCGCTGTTAGCCTTTCACTTCTGCATACACTTGTTGCATTTTTGTGAATATGAGTTCTAATAGCTTGTTCAAAAGTGTTTGTAATTTTTCCAATGAGAATATTTGTTGTATGCTGCCCAGAGTCACTCCTTATGAGATGGGCAGCCATATAAATTTGATCAATCAATCAATCAAATTTGATGGAAAGGCATGGAGGAATTCTCTTTGCATACCAGAACTCCTATATCAAAAATTGGTTTCTAGGCAACTATGACTTATAATGGTGACTACATGGGTACATTCATGTGATGTAAGCCACTTTTATTATTGCATGAGTTTTCAGCATTACATTTTTATGACTATAAACTACTTTGGGAGAGCTTTGGCCAGGTTGGGGCCTGTACTGTAGTGATACAGCAAAGCATCAGTACTTCTCCAAGCTTATTGTGCTGGCAAAGTGTCATCTAGTGGTTCTGTTTAAGGTAGGCTGCACTCTATTGGAGAACAATGGCCAAGATGACCTGACTCATTAGTAGCTTTGACCCCGGCCCTGGATGGGATTGCTTTCTCCCTCAAAACGCAGAGCAATAGCTTCAGGATCCTCAAATTCATAGCTCTTGCCTGACTACTGGATGGAGTCCATGGCCAGAGGATTCTTTGCCCAGCTTCAACTGGTACAACCGCTGCAGTCTTTTGTTAGAGGAGGAGGCCCTAACAACAAACCCCTCATTACTTCAAGACTGCATTACTCGGGGCTGCTTCTGAAGACTACCAATGTCATTTGGTACAGAATGTGGCCATCCATACACTAATCAAATCCAATTAAAACTGCTGTTTTTGATGAAGTTCTATATGGCTTGGGTTCAGGCTGCCTATGAAATGTCTATTCTGAATGGGATATTTCTGCCCTGTGTGATTAGTTCAGGAAGGAATGCTTTGAGCCTCCTCCCCTGGAAATCTCAGGAGGGTGATAGTCCAAAGCAGGCCATCTCTGGGGCAGAACTCCCCTACCCCTGCTCTCTGGAACAGCTTAGGCACCAAGGTGCAGGTGGTCCCCATACTTTCAAGTATCAGGAAAGCTATGAAGGCTGGCTTTTCCTTCAGGTCTTTGGGATGAGAGATGTCTGTGCAGGGCCTTTTAAATTATGCCTTTATTGTACTATATTAAATTGTTGTTCTATGGTAGTATAATTTTATGTGAGCTACCCAAAGTCTGTGTAATTTGGGCGGGACATAAGCTAAGAAACAAACAAATGCACCCATTTCACAAATTATAAAAAGGGACCGGTGTTCATCTATCTTTTGCCCAAATTAACAGCATCCTTACAGTAAGAAGGAAACGTTTAAGATATACTTACCCATGGAATGACTTTAAGTCACATTCCTTGAGCAGTGTAAGAGCATGACCTTTATATTCAGTAACTACATAAAAAAAAGTAAGACAAAAATAATTAGTGCCCATTTAAACAGCACTGAACTTCTTAAAGTGGCAGATATTTCTTAGAATCCTTAAATCCCTTTCCAGAGAGCTGTTGTGTACTCAGTGAATCCCCTTGCCTCTTGGAACAGAGGGTCTCCAAACCACCAAGTTTCCCTAACTTTGAAAAACTGTTTGCTTCTGCATGCTCACAGATTTGAACAACCATCATCAGATGCTCTGCTGGAGGTGGTGCTACGTGCCAAGGAAGGCAAATGTTCTGCAAGAATAGCCTTTTGAGCACTATGCCCCCAGCTACAACGTACCCTCAGCAATGACTGCCTGGTGATTCCGTTCTTATATAAGACAAAGATGCCCTTATCTTGGGCCATTTATGTCCTTTGCTCTTCCTGTTGTGTTTTTAAGTACGTCTATTGCTATACATTTAGATTTCTTTCCTTTGTTTTTGTATTTGTTTAAGATTGAACTTTTGCAACTGCTAATTTTAAATTGCCATCTTCCTCCCTGAAAATAAATAATAAACAAAGGGTAGAAGCATATACATAAATATTATTCTAGCCAAATAAGGGCACAGAAATAATTCATTTATAAAACACTGATTATTGACATATAAAAGAATCAGTGTGAACAGGGGTGGACAGAAAATAGATCAGGGCAAAGGGTGTGAAATATGTTTTGAATTCAAAGCACGTATTTTATGTTCAAAATAGTTGTTTCACACTAAGGATGGGACGTTTTAATCACATTGGAATATTCTGAATGTTCTGAGCTTAAAATATTACCAAAACAATCAAAATCACCTAATTCAAATGCAAAATGGGTCATTCAAAACATTCTGTACACCATTATTGATAGGTTGATTTACAGTGGATTGGGAAGGGCTTCTAACACTTAATGATTTAACAAAACAACAAAATGATTTCTTCTATTAGAATTATTATAATTATTATTAGAATGCTGAAAGTTTGAATTGATAAAATTTCTGAGCTTTTGTATGACAGGATAATGAACTCAACATAACTCTTGTAACGTATTAGAAAACATGTTTCTGAGTTAAAAGAATCCTGAGACATCATGAGCTTCAATGACAAATACTAGCTTTTTGCGCCTGCCTCTTGTTTGTGGACTTTATTTGTTATTTTTATTAAAAGAGAAAATAGCTCTCCTGGATATAATCTGAATTATCTAAAATGTAAGTCTTTACATCAATTTGGACAAGTAAACTATGGAAAGAATAAAGCTGGGTAGCTGGTAACAAAATGATATGACACAAGAAGAGGATGGATCACATGTATACCAGAATCTGTGGCCTCAGAGGAAATTAATCTTTAAATGTATATTGCTGCTGTTGGTTGATATCTTATGCAGTACAGTGAACACCAGCAAATAAAGAATAAACTGGCATATTGCAGATGGTATAAAGTATTATAACCAATTTACAATCTTCTAGGCCATGGTTGCCAGAAGAGGCAGCCCAGCTGTATCCACTCATCAAAGATTTCTGATGACTGATATGACAATTCCAGATGGATTTTTTATGTAACAATGTGCATTATTATATGCAAGATTACATTAATATTTCATGCTTAGCTGTCTTTGGTGTGGTATATTCCATCTTTTCCAGTGCTTTTATAGATGTTTGAATTCACTGGATAAACAAGGCATCACTGTAAAATTCCAATTTTAATATGCTTTAATACTTTTAAGTTGTCATACTTTAATACATTTAATACATTCATATGATTTATTTTTACTGCTCACCTACTTCATTATGATAGGTAAAAATGTCTTTAAGGGTGAGTAAACAGATTATTGTGCCAAACACTATCACTCAAAAGAGCACTGCATGTGTTACAGTGTACCCAAACCTTAAAGGCCAGGGTAATACTGTACAAAGCCCAGAAGCAACACTTCGACACTATCATTCTATGTACACACTTCAAAGCTGAGCAGATGAGTTGACAGAACATTAAAATGACCGACAAAGATACAGTGATTTTATATCCTTGGGAAAATATACCTAGAGCTCAGCCCCATCCTTCCAGTTGCCTATAGGTGTGTGTGCACCTTCAAATCAGTGTTGATTCCTGGCAACTGCCTGGACTAGTCCCTGCAGTTTTCTTGGCAAGATTTTTGGAAGTGGTTTGCGCTTGCCTGCTTTCTAGGGCTGAGAGTGAGTGACGGACTGGCTCAAAGTCGCTCAGCCGGTTTCTAGCCTGGTGCCTTGACTATCACACCAAACTGGCTCTTAGTTGCCCAGATAACTGAACCAAATAGATACAATACAGTACATTGAATGATACATTCCAACCTATTGACTGTTTAACAATTAATATAATAGTCATGCATCCTTTTCTCTTGCTGAATCAAAGAGAAGAAATAGAAAGCGATATTTCAAGCAAATATAAAGCAAGGAGTCTATGACTGCAATGAGATAGAATATATTGGAACATGATGCTTGACCATACTTTAAAAGTACAAGCCCATTTCTGTAATGCAGTCATAAGATGATCTGAAATATTTGCTCTTGCTTTCAACCAACTCTACTTTGTTATTATTTCCATGGTTGCATATGCTCTACACCCCAAGGTTCTACAGCCCAAGCTAATTTCCACTCATCTGTATGGGAAGAGTTATATTTGCAGGTGCCTTAATTAGAGCACCTGCAACCATGGTAATGTCTTACTTGCTCTGCACCTTCTCCAAAGGAAAATCATACAGGTAGTCCTTGTTTAATTACTACCTGTATGTAGTAACTACCACTTGTTCAGTGACCATTCAAACTTACGACAGTGCTGAACAAGTGGTAGTTACAACCAGTCCACAGGGCTCTGGCTGTTGCAGCGTCCCCGTGGTCATACGATTGTGATTTCCGACATTCCCTGCCGGTTTCCCATAAGCAAAGTTAATGGGGAAGCCAGCAGGAAGTCGGAAGTCATGGCCACATGAGGTCCTTGCTTAATGACCTGTGTGATCCTCACTTAACAACAGCAACCAGAACGGCCAGAACTGCTGTCGCTAACCGGCGCGGTCATGTGACCTCGTGCTTTACAAACACGTTTAGCGATGGCAATTCCAGTCCCAATTGCCAACATAAGCCGAGGACTTACAGTGTGGTCAAGATTAGACAGAACTGCCCTTACTGAAATACTTGCAGGGAGATCAGAAATCACACTGTGCAGGATGGAGAACATTGGCTGCTATTTCACCCTTCATGCAAGTGATGCAAGGAAGGGAGACTGCCCATCCCATTCCTCCCCAAGCAATCCACCTATTCTGAGCCTTTCCCCAAGCAGGGAAATCATACTATGGACAAACCACTTCAAGAACCATCCAGTGGTTCCACAGAATCATTCCATATTTTCCTATGTAGGAGAAAACAGGAACTGATCATTCTCAGATGTATCTTGCATGACTCAAAGGATAAATGTCCAATGATGGATCTTAAATAGATGGTAGCACCTAACCGACCTTTGCTGATCTTGGAAATACGTAGGGCTGGCCCCAGTTAGAACTTGGGTGGGAACCACCTGGGAATTTCAAGGCTGTTACCTAGACTGAGAGGCAGAGGAAAAGGATTCAGAAGGCAGTGGCAAACCTCTTCTATAATGCTGCCAAGAAAACAGCATGGGCGGTGTCTCCAGGAATAAAGCTTGACTGAAAGGCATCTTTACCTTTGCTGGTGACGTAGTACTACCTTCCTCCATTAAGCCTTCCCCTCTATCCAGGCAGACTATATCCAGGCCATGAACAAGATCAAATTCCCCACCTCTCCTTTATCCAAACAAGCCAGGGTTTGTTCAGACTAATCATAGAGGAAAATAAGCTTGGTTTGACCCAATACTGCCCTAAAAGAAGAATAAACGCTTCTGAACCCTCATAGATATACTGGATGAATGAAGCTGAGGATATAATACCTGAGGCTTCATTTGGGTGTCGGGAATCAGATGGAACTGTTGCTATTCTGTGCTACCCAGTGCTGTGGCCAGATTGGCAGAGGTATTCCCCAGCGTTATGTTTCTGGGGGACTTTAATTTGCCTTCCTTGGGTGTAACATTGAAGGCAACTCAGGTGTTCATGGCTATCATACACCTAACCCAGATTATTCAGGGCCCAATTTATACTGGGGGGCAGACTTTAGACCTGGTTTTTCTCTTGGGGAAGTGGTAACATGATCTGGAAAGAGGGGATGTTACCATCAGCCCTTTGCCTAAGGACTGAATTTGAGGTCTAGGATACAGAAGCCAAAAACTTGCACAAATTAATTCTTTAACACTACATTATCAAGTGAATATATTTTTATATTTATATACTAGTGATTCAGCTACATTTTTTTTGAAAAACATATAATTTTTATTTTTAATTATTTTAGAATAAAAAAGAGCAAAGAAGCAAGCAAAAGGAGAAAAGAATAAACTAAAAAAGTTGATTTTTATTTATTTAATAAATAAATAATTTATTATTTTACTTTTATTTTTAATTCTCTATGTTGTCTTTGTTGTATTTTGAATGACCAAGTAATAAGTAAACATTAGTAACTTCAGTAACTCTTAAACTATTTTATCACTGATAAGAGTTTAAAACTAAAACTACAAAAAAATGACTATAACCTGGTTAACTTAAACCTAAAACTATAAAAAATATTAACTATGGCCTAGTTATTTTTATTGTAGAAAGCATTCAAAGATGTGAAAAATCATTATTTTAAATTAATATGTTTTAAATAGTCCACTGCTCTGTTTCATTTTAGAAGAATACATTCCTGTGTGATTGTCAATATGTGATTATCAAATTATTATACTATTGCAAAGAATCATTATTTAGTTTAATAAATCTGAAGTCCTTGTAATTTGCCAAATTCTCCTGCAGGAGGAGTGCTAGCTAATAAACCCAGCAGTGTTCTTTGAATTATTATTATTACATATCACAGAATTGTAATATATGGCATGTATTTAATGTCAACTTATCAATTTAAAAGGTTTAATTCATTTCCCTTATTAAAACTAGTAATGAATACATATTACCTGCTGCAGCAGATTAAACCAGTTGTATCTTATTTCTTTGTAATATAATGTAGTTATATATTCAATAAATATAATATTCAATACATTTAAATCACCAGGGAAAGCCAGTATCATATTTCCAAAATTAAAACACCTGAACAAAAACAGGTAAGGAGACTTTCACAGGACACCAATCCCATCTCTGATAAACAATATACTCTGTACAATAGGGAACGAGCTTGTGCAAATGGATCTCTGGATTGCCAGACTGCTTTCATACTATTGCTAATACCATCTCCTATCCAAAAATAAGCCTTAGAAAATTCAATAGGACATATTTTGTCACAGCCCTATCCACTCAAAAACAAATATCTCCAGTATTAGTGACTCATGCAACATACTAATGGATTAAACTGAAGTCTCTAAAGCGTCTTACCGATAACGTCAGTCATGATGTCAGCAACCTTGAAGAGGGGAGCAACTTGCTCATAATAAATCCGAGTAGCTTCTTTTTTATGGCTATTTGGATTGACAAATATTTTTAATGACTTTGGCCGACTTGGAAACCCTAAAAATCAACAAATGTCACAACATCTTTGATAACAGGAAGTATGGGTTCAATGTTAACACATGTGGATATATTTGCATTTTGAAATAGGACGACTTTCAGAGTTCTTCATAACCTTTGCGGGGGGTGGGGGGAGGGAACTGGCATGCTCATTACTTATATCCAACTCCAATATAATCCTGGAACAACTAGAGCGCTGACCCACTTGTGTGTTTATAGCTAACAATACCTACTATAAATGAGTCAGTCACCATCAAGAGCATTATGTGGTAGCTATAATAAAAAAGATTTTAGGTCATAGTTCAAACCTGAAAGAGGGAGAGTGATAAAGTGAGAAGAGAATATATTCTCCTGGGAGTATAAGAGGAAATGCCTCTCAGCAAGGATTTGATAATAGTACTCCTTCACAGTTGGTGCAGAGATTTGATACTACAATTTTCAGGATTTGCAGATTATGTATCATGCCACACAGAAGGAGCAGGTGCAAAAGAAATCTGCCCTTGATTAAAAGATAAAAAAGGGGCATGGGGGGAAAACATATGCAAAAATCAGAGTGATTTAATTCACATTTTAAATAAAATGTGAGGTTATTTTCCTATTTTGTTTTAAAAAATAAACTATTAATTATCTCAAAACTAATTTCATTCATCACATATTCTACTCTTATTTATTTCTAGTAGGACTTCACAAAAGCCAAAGGGCATTTGTTCTGAAGTACAAGAGTTACTTTCTGATTTAGCCATCCTAACCCCAGGAAAAAAAAAATCACACATTCATAGAAATAATGATATAAAGAAACAGTTCAATTTCTTTTTTACTATAATTATAATAGTATTATTACTGTTTAGCTAAAGTAAAATCGCTAGCATGAAAAACAAGTTGCCCAAGTAGAAATGTTCATTTCTTCACATTTTTAAAATGTTAACATTGTTGATCATGTACAATAAGTTCTGAGGAAGCAATCTTTCCCAGCTACAGCGCCCTCCAGATGTGCAGACTTTCACAGAATTCTCAGCAACAGCCACGCTGGCTGGGGAAGTCTAGGAGTTGACGCTCATACTTATCTAAAAGGAGCCAGACTGGGAAAGATTGTGACAGGGGTAAGCAATGAAATTGGCAGAGTTTCTTCTTCTATAAACAAATGTTGATACCTTCTGTCTTCCTAGTCTTCAAACATTTCTCTCAAAAGATACAATGCTAGATGTAGTAAACTATCCAGGTATAAATACCAGTTACTGTTCAGGTGATCCAAGGTTATATAATGTTCATCTTTTACTTTTATCAATTGCCTTAGTATTTTGCGAAGAAGTGAATTGATGAAGAAATTAAATCCAATACTGAAAGTAATACCGTGCATGTAGATGCTTTCCCTGTTGCTTATCTTAGATTCTATGTTGCTTTTTGCATGGTCACTACCTACACTTCTGTTCAATTCATTAATCTACTTTTTGAATATTTCTTAAAAGTATCACGACTGCACCCTTCTTCAATTTGGATGGATACGGTGAGAACTTATCCTAACTTGAGAACCTACCATAACCAAAAGAACTTAAGAAATTCTAGTTCAGTAAGTAATAAATTAATCAGAATAATGAGTTTCTTCTCTGAATATTTTGTCTACACACTATAACAGATTATTCCTTGGTCCTCTCATTTTTGTAAGGATGATGTGGTTGATGGTGCAGCAGGGTTCACTCTCTAAAGCCAAGGTAACAGACATTGATGGTTCAAGAATACAGGTTCCTTGGGGAGATCCATAGCTTGCCCTCTTCCTCCAGTATCCTCCTCTACTGATTGTATCATGTATTCTTCAGTCCTCTAAGGTTCTGGTGCTGTTGGCTATAATTCCATTTTGATTTACAAAGAAGGAACATTCCATGAATGTTAAATGCATTTTCTCTGTTTATTTCACAGAAAGTGGTTGATTCTAGAGGAGAATCCTGTGCCTCTTTTCTTCCACATATTATGTTTGTGTTGTCAATCTTCTGCATGTATTCATGCTTGTTAAGTGTGAATTGGTTTTACTCTTGAATGTTAATTTAGATTTTCCTATACAAAAGAGTCCAAGCCTCTGTTTAATTTATTGGTGCCCTTCCCTCAACCATTCAGCTTGGTCAGTTATTGCTTCCTCTCTTAAAATTCTAAAATTCCTAAAATCCAGATAGTCCGAAATCCTTAAGGCCTAGACATTTGTGTGACAAGCGGAAAGTATTTCTCAATCTACTGATAGATCTCAGGATAATTTGCTCTAAACAAGCAAAGATCTCTGATTTCCAATTAATTGACAGCTACAATAACATTCCTCCCATATATAAACTCTCTAAAATAGAACTCTGAAATGAAGAACACAGGATAATCAGGGACAGATTTGTTTTTGAAGAACTGGGAGCTCTATTTTATTTTGGGATCTTTCAGAATAAATTTTGGGAATGAGGATGAATTTTAAGTCTATACTTTTTGACAGGCTCCAACTGAAGAATCTGTTAATTTGTTCTAATTAAACCAAAACCAAATAGATTTTATAAGCCAAAACTGGCCATTTCAGATAAGCATTAACCGGTCAGACAGACTTGATTAAGCTTCTTCCAGTATTATGAAAAGCATACGGAGTTCCACTTTATTCCTTTATCTGCCATTCATACAGAATGACCTGTAGCAGGCAGGCTATTTTATCTATAGAAGTTGTCACACAATTAAAGACTCTAGAAAATCAAAGTTTACAATAAATTGAAGAGCCTTCATTAAAGAAAAAGAAGAGGCTCTCTGCAACAGTCAGTCACTCTCATTTATGGAGGGTGATACAATAGGTGAGGCTCTCGTGCTCATCCCTGCACTCTCTAAATGTGAGTAGATTGTCTCTTTCTTCACAACAAATAAAGTGGGTTGTAAATAACTTTTAAAAGTATATCTGAGGCAGAACCTAAATTTGGGATAAGCAAATGAGCAGGAAAGGACTAAGTGGGCTCAAATCAAATGGACATCAGGAACCATGCAGAAGAGTACTAGGTTGGGGACCTGAAGTCGTAACACAATAATCAGTGCATGGAGAGGGCAGAGGAGGGCTGCCCCTCTCATTTCTTGTGTAAGCTCCTTCAGTCATTGTGTTTAACAAGCTACCAGGAGGGCAAGGGAGTGCCAGCAAAGGATTATGCAGACACAAGGCTCATTCTTAGTCTGATCAATCATAACTCAGGCTGCTACCTCTGAACTTTAAAACCGCAAATACCTTATCAAAATATCAATAACCCCCTGAGCATTTCCTAATCATCTAACCTATTTTCCTCTTCCTCAGTTATATTATTCTGCTAACTTTTTAACAAACAATTTAATATGTTTAAATATTAAATGTTAAGTGTTTCAGCTCTCAGTGCAAACAGAGAGAAGCTACAGCTTTGGCACCATCAGAACCTACATTTTATTCAAGTTTCTCCCCTAAACTGAAGCAGTGCTTTTATAGAGAATAGCCAACTGTTCCTCTGCTGGTAACAAATGTGCTAATATGCACTAGTTTAAACTTGATCTTTCAGTGAGCGACTCAATGAACCATGAAAAGTAGGGGTTAATCAGGGTGTTCTGAAAACAAAGGCTCGCAGGGCAGCAGAGACGCTACCCTCAGACACACATCTGTGCTGCTTTCAGTATTTAGCTTTATGGCAGCAGGTTTATGTTTACAAAAGTTAGGAGCCTGAAATGATGTCACTGTCATATATATTATTAATATTTTATACCACAGGCAATAAGAAAATTGTTACATAGAGACAGTAATAATGACATGAATAAACATTTTTCATGCTAACTAGAGATAAAACAGTTGATGTTACAACTGTTAATGTATAACATTAATGGGATAATTAAGCCTTCATGCATGAAGCTTTAGACACCCGTATTAAAGCTTGGTGTGGGAGGCATCTTGTAAAAGAGATTCAATAACACTCGCTTATATAAATAACCATTCCATCTTTTATTCTGAAAAGACCAACATATATTGCTAACATGTTTTGTTTTTAAAAATCAGATTTTGAAAGATAGGACAATTATACAGTTTCATCTTAGAAAACCTTATCACGGATAAATGGAAAGCACTGAAATTACCCTATTCTGGGTTTAATGTTAAATTTTATATCATTATTTCAAAAAACCAACAAATGTTATCCTTCATAATATTTTTAGAATATAGTGGTATCTGAGTGAACTGCAAAGCCTAGTTTTAATTTAAGAACTTTTAAAATTCTTAATGGAACTCATCAATGCACATGAGAATGAGGATTAAAGCAAAATCTATGAACATTAAATCATAATAAAGTTCAATATGATCACCTTTGACATGTTAAAACTTGTCATCTTAAAACAGACAAAAGAAATATTACCAAAGTAGACTTATTTATCACCAAAGGTATTACTGTTATCTCTGTATAGTATCAACTCTGGGGCATGGGCAAAACTACTTACATATGATGAATATTTAAGAAACTTTTTGAAAGAAACCTTTTCTGCAAGAAAGTAGTTGTGAGACACAACAGAATCCTTAATATCAGAATTTTTAAAAAATATATATTTTTATTCTGTTGTTACACTTTCAGAAAAGGTTCTTGAAACTGCCTTCAAAAGAACAATATTCAATTTTGGTTACAGAATTTTCATTTTTTTTACTTCTATGTTTTTTCGTACGAAACCAACATTTATAACAATCTGATTACACACAGATACAGTAACATGTATTTTTATAATCCCACTAGACGGGCATGCACATAATCTAAAATCTTTATAAACAATCAAATTAATAATCAGTCTTCGTTTGATACAAAAAGAGACATTGAAGGTCATGTAACATACCTATTTACCTAACTATCTATGATGCTATTTCAGTATTTCAGTACCTGAAATACCAAAAAATGAGGAACAAAAAGAAATTAATATAAAAAAGGAACTCAATAGATGAGAACACAATCCTGTGTATTAAAGCAGGATTAATAAGATTCGGCCACAGCACCAAATCACAAAACGCTATCAGGAAATGGGAGGAGTGATCAAGGATGCTGAAGAGCCTTTTGGTAGAACTCCCAGTCATGGAATTCCCTCTCCCTTAAGACTGTAGACCTAATCACTTAAATAAGGAGGCAAAAACATTTTAATTCTATCTGACTTTTAATAGTACATAATCTGAGGCCAATGGTTTTAACTCTGCTTTTTCATCTTAATACCATCTTAATTCTATTCCTAAATTTGCTTTTGGTTTTTAGATCAAAAGACAGCACAAAAATGTTGATTATAATTTTTCCAGGATATTGAGCTACTGTTGTCAAATATATATGGCATTACATATCTTCATTTACACTGGTAGTGGGAAACATTTGAGAAAGACAGTCATCCCGCAGAGTCATCCACAATTCCTTCACTTTTCAAGTATAGAAACAAAGAAACTGTCATGTTTCGTTGAAGAAATAGACCCTTGAAACAAACAATCAAACAAAAACCTCTTGATGGTGTTCTGGAAGACCCTGAAAACCTGGTTGTTCTCCCAAGCCTTGGGGTGGAGCAGATGGCACCCCCTTATTTGAGGTGTTGCCATATTTTGCACATGTATTGGTGTGTTGTCTGGATTCCCACCTTGTAATTATCTTTTTTTAATAATTATTTTTCTTCTATTTATTGTATTTTTGTTGTGCTCTTTTTTCTCTGAGCTGCCCAGAATCAGTTGGCATCAAGCAGCATAGAAATTGAACGGATGGATGGATGGGTAAATAAATAAATATGTCAGCATTGCACAAACGCAGTTGTAACAGCAAAGCAGAGTTAGTATAAGGATGACTTCACAGAAGCAATTTATTCATGGGAAACTTGATTTAGAAAATATTGCCCAAGTCAGGCATAATCTCCCTTATCATTTAAAAATAATATTTTTTTTTCTAAATAGAAGGGGGGGTTGCAATCAGCTTAAACTTTTTTAAAGTAGTTAAAAAGGTTAATTCTAAATCAGTAGCATAAAACAAATTAATTAATAACTAGAATAAATTCAAAAAGCTGCAACAGCACAGCAGCTAAATAGAATTCACTAAAAACCCACCATAGCAGTGTCAAAAACAACAGAATTATATCTAACTTTTTCCCCTGGGTTGGCAGGCCCTTTTTGTGAACATCCATTAAATGATAATCCATTACCAATAGGTAAACTATGATTACCAGCTTCACAGCAAGCCAAGATAGTTTGAACCAAAGGGACTGTGTGCAAGACAAAAGATTTGTGCATATATTGGGCTAATAAGATGCGGTATGACAATCTGAACATAGTCCATTATTGCTAAACTATCATTTATCATTATTGCTAAACTATAATCTAACACTATGGGAGGAGGCCACTGGCTTCTACCTCCTATCCTTCTAATATGGCTGCAAGGAGTCTGGAAGCTTTTCCACTGTTCATAGTTGTTCCTTCTGTTTAATCAGAGAACAATGAATCCTGGATGCAGCTTGCAGGCCCCTTTCCTAAGCTAATTGTTTCTGCCCAGCAGACTGGTACTGAAATTATGGAACAGCACTCCTAACTGATGGTAGTGCCTATTGGTTAGGCAGAAGGGGAGACATATGACAAGATCACAATTATTCCACTACATGCCTTCTCCTTCCAACTGCTGATCCATTTGCAAGCAGGAGTAGAGCTACATGTCCAGGGAAGAATAAGGATCTGATTATACTTGTGGGGTCAGAAACAGAGAGGTAGACAGAGGCACAGTAAGTCTTGAGAAGAAACTTTTTGGAACCAAGAAGAAGATGATGTCTGTGCCATGTTGGCTACCCCATCAGCTATGAACATGTCCACTGCCACAACTAATACTCCGTCATCGCTGCATATGACCTTTAGTGGAGTAAAAAGGTTGGTCACCCCTGGTTTAGGAAAACAAGCTAGGAACATAAGGCATGACCTGAAGATGATATAGTTTCACTCGATTCAGAAATAACGAGTAATGGCAATAACTGAAGTAGAAGGGAAGGCTTCTGATCTCCTGTTCAACACAGGGAAGAGAACAGAGGAAAGAGCTGAGGTTCACACATGCAAATTAGAGTTCAGTATTACATATGAACCAGAAAAACAAAACAAATTAGATTTAGCTAAAACAAAACCTTCATAATTTCACATTATGTATGTGAAAAAAGAGGTATACAAATACAAATAATAACAGTAATAATAATCATAACAACTATATCAACATGAATCAAATCAGAAAAAGGAGATATGTGGCTAAGAGAATCATTGGAATCCTAAGTATCTTTACCTGGACATAAACTCTTCTAAACTCAGTAGAAATTATTATTCAATAAAATGGTAAAGCTGCTGCTACATCTTTTATTGCAAAACTTTTTGGAAATATGAAAATAAAGTACTTACCCTTCAAAATTTCCTTCAAAGATCTATACCATAAATAACAATGGTCTTCACTTATGTTGCCTAGATTGATGGTGGCATCTTTAAGTTTATTGCCTTTTTTTAGACACACAAAAATAGCGATTCCTAATAATATGCCTTTTTCTTGCCCAGCAAAACGACGACGTTTCAGTTTTATGGAAAATACATCTTTCATTTCAACAAATTCTTCTTTATGCTGTAAACCAATACTGGAACCTCCTGCAGAAAAGGAAAAGAATAAATGCAGTTTAATCATATACAGTTCTCAGTATGTAAGTGCGAGAGAATGTTATGTATTTGCGCACGCACACACACACTAGAGTGCTCACTGGAAGCACTAGGCAGCTATATACTCTCATTGATGACACAAGCATGAGCTTACAAGAAGTAGTTACTGACAGACAATCCTGGTGAAATGATGTCCATCAGGTCATGAAGAATTGGAAGTGATTGTGAACAACAATAAAAACCACATCAATTCACGAATAGGTGCACCTAGCAGCTGGTGGAGTGATATAGCCAAGGGCCCACAGCCAACAAAATCATAGTAGGAAGGAAAGCATATTTTGAAAAATCTCCCAATTGCATAAAGTTTATAGAAACATTAAATATGTCTCTTGTGTTGTTTTGTACTGCTGTCACATCCAAAGAACCCAGTGATCTTGTCTGTCAGTATGCAAAAGAGGAGAACGCTGACTTTTTGAAATTCCAATTTAATTTGGTCTGGTCTTATGGAGACTACTACCTGGAAGTGATAGTTCTGCAGCTTTTCTGTACACAAGGAAATCACAGTGTTAGCCACAGTTTCAATGGAATGGTTACACAATGTTATGTCAAACAGTTATAAACAATTTTAATTAGAAGGAAATTGTGAAATTAAGTTCATCTGAAACAATGGAATTTCACCACTAAGTTCTCATTCAGTTAAAAAAACTTTTTAATTTTTATTAAAACTGGCTTATAAAATTATACTGCAAAGTTTTTTTCCCCATTCAAGAATTATCCATTCATTAGTATCATACAGATTATTGCTAGCTGTTTCAAAACATTAACTCTCCTCTCATATTACCTAGAAGGATACAGGGTACCATCTGTTCTTACAGGGGATTTAAGTATACATTAGATATCATGCTATTTATTTGATTCTGCTCCCACTTCCCATTGTATTTTTAAAATCAATTTAATTACAAGGAATAGTCTTTCCTGCTACGTTGTTTCATCACAAGAGCAGGGCACACACCTTCAAAAAGTAGGTTACACTTGTTAGGTTTTCTTCTCTTTTTAACCACACTTAACATTAAGAAAGGTCTTAGCAAAAACAGTACTACATAGCTCTTAAAAATATTACTGTAAGCCAAGAGCTTGTCTACATCAATTTTGGCACATCTGCCTGATGTAGAGCATAAACAGGATTAGAGGTGGATTTATCTGCTTGACACTAATTGTACTCACAGTTTCTGCACATGTCCACTTCTTCAAATACAATACAAAAATAAGGTTGGCTATGATATTAATTTCTATCTTCATGTGTTAAGCACTTTAGTTATCATATTCATAAGTAACTAAACCTTCCCAAATGATTTCAAATTTATAATTTTCTTTAATAACCAAACTTATCTTTGACACTTCCTCATATTTTACTTCTCTGAGACTTAAAAGGGGAAGGAGATATTTCTCATTCTCTTTCTTTTGCTTTTTTAAACTTGGGATGCAAATATTGGGCAGAAGGAAGGAAACTGGTCAGAAGACAACCATTTTAGGTGTTATCATCTGAACCAAATTATTATCTTCAAGAACTATGTATACAGAAAGACAAATTTTCTTTCTTCATGGTTTAATATATGCTGGAGCTGCCAGTGGAGAAGTTTAACTTCAGCCAACATGGCACAGAGACATCTTCTTCTTCATGGTTCCAAAAAGACCATACCAGTTGGCAAATCTTTACAAGTATGACCTCTGCCAGGCAACAGAAGAGTCAGTGGAACTACATGAATTCTCGTAAAATTATTAAGAGGGTTGTACTCCACACTTTTTGAGATTATGTGGGGAGGGGTATAGGAGACAAAAATACTTTTGAACTTACGTTCTCCAAGAACTACCTGTTCTTACAGAAGTGAACACAACATAAATAGAATACATAATCCAACGCAGTTTGTTGGTTGGCACTGTACTGTTTATAGTAGAGTGCTCAAACAAATGGGCATTCAATTGGGCCATCTATTGAAAGTAATGCCTTCCACTATATTGGGCAGTATATTTGGATACATGGAAAGATTTCAGGAACCTACAGAAACTTATTTATTAGCCAATTAATAACTGTTATTGTTAACAAGACACAAATTATAGTTACAGACAATTGGATTTTCTCCCCTACTTTGGATGACTAGAGAAATTTAAAACCAGATTTTCTATAAAAATAGATTCTGCAACTAGATACACATATACATATATGACTGCAGTTGGTAGAATTGAGGGCTGTAAGGTTCATAAAAGATTATGCCTTAGCAAAACTAAAACACGTATAAGGGGTTGTATTTTTTTCAATAGTTTTGCTCCTATTCCAGAAAAGTAATATGAAGACAAGTTTCATGTATAGATTGGCTTTCAGGAATGAATCTGGCTCTTTCAAAAAGTGTCTTGAACAAAATAATCAATTCTCCTACATTTACATTAAGAGCATTAAACAATAACCATATATTACTACTACTTTTAACCATGTCAGTTACTAGCTGATAGAGACATGAATGAGTTCAATGCCTTCCATTCATCCTCACATGATCTGATGATCATATCTGCCAGAGCTGAAAGTGTTATACAGGGCAAAGTATTAGTCTCTTAGATTTTGGATTTATACTTCCCTGCACCCTAAATCTGAATCACTAAGGATACAGGTAAAATAGAATCAGAACTAATCTACTGAAAGTTATAGGGATACACATTTTAGAATTATGTCTGCATTCATGTATAGCTTTAAATCCTATAGAATTTAGCTTTTTTGCTACATTATAGAAAAATCTTACAATACAAAGTTTTTAGATTCATACGTTTATTTACTTATAGTTTTTAGTTGTCAGATTGCTATTTCACACATATTTTATGAAAAATACTTTTTAGGTTAACAACACCTAGTATTATAGGTAAAACATTAATTACAGAATTAATTTTGTATTCTTTCATGCTTTATCCTGTTTAAAGATTTAAATAAACTGACTGATGAATTTTTTAATATCTGAAACCTGTAAATTCACACTTACATACAAATCAAATGCATCAAATAATGTCAAACATTTTCTAGAGAAATCTGATAACAATATCCATCTAAAGCAAACCTCCCTGACATTCAGAGCAAGAAAATGCAGTACTAATATCATTCAGAATCCAGAGTAATTTCTTGTGTTCAGAAGAATGAATATTTCCTTTCAAATTATCTTCTATACAGGTCGTCCCAGGTTAAGAATGTCCAACTTACAGACAGCTCATACTTACGAATGGGCCGCCTATTACTAAAAATGGCAGTGTTTTCCTTCCTTGAGCTGACAAACCGCTGAAGTTGTGCAATGTTTTCATGAACCACTCAAGGCATGTGTTTTTAATATACAGCCTGTTTTCAGCAGTTCATGAAAACATTGTGTGGCTTCAGTGATTTGTTGGCTCGAGGAAAGAGAACGCCATTCGCCATTTTTAGTAATAGACAGTCCATTTGTAAGTACAAGTTCTGACTTACATACAAATTCAAGTTAAAGACAAACTTAGGAACAGAACTCGTTCTTAACCTGGGGACTACAGAAACAACTGTTACTGGTGGAACTCCTGCAGAATCTAATGATCGATGCTTCAAAACATTCAAACTATGCATCATTAAAAGTAAACTAAGCAAAGATACTTATTTACTGACTGTGCACATTACTTGGTATCTCCTAATTCTGTGACAGACTTGATAAAAGAAAGCTAATGCCACCATTTCTATCCTAGAATGTAAGCTGTGTTACATACATCTAGAAAATAAAGGTATATATGCATGAACATGCAATTAATGATACATACACTTGGGTTTAGTGTTAGAGGTGAGGTGCAGGAGAATTTGTTTTTTATACAAGACCTTTACCCTTCTTGAGTCATGCACAATTTATGAAGTTAATTTTTAAAAATTATATCCCATACAGCACTGCATGCCTCATACTACAATATGATGTGTACTACTATTACTCAGGCAACAAAAAGACTTCCAGTTCAAATTTTGTATTCTTTCCCCACAGTGTTCCATGTTACGTCCCACTGCAAGATACTTGTAATATTACAAAAATGTCATAGAATAAGGTCAAGAATCATAAGTTCTTGGATCAGAAATATAACCTTAAAAACTGAAAACCTGATAAAAGATATATAAGATGCTGTATAAATGAAAATTCATTAATAATAATTAAAAAAATGTAAACTCAACACTCAATTACATTCACCTATGTGTCTGAAAAAGAAAAGTGAATAATATACATGTCAGCTGCATACAAAGTAAGGTTAATCTTGTTTCATTTTCACTGTGCAGCTTTCATCCAAAGTAACTGTAATAGAAATTACAATTTTCTATTAAGTCTTGTGTCTTATTCATATCATCTGCCCTAAAGAAATGCACACACACCAACAACCGAACATTCAAAATTCTACAGGTAGTCCTTGTTTAGCAACTGCCTTGGTTAGCTACCATTCACAGTTATGATAGTAATGAAAAAGTAACTTTACGACCAATCCTTGCATTTATAACCTTTGCAGGTCTGAAAAGCAAAGGAAAGCTGTAGTAAAATCATAAGCACAATCGTAGTGTCATTTAGTGACCACTTCACTTAACAACCGAGTTTCTGGTCTCTAAATGAGGACTACCTGTACTTGGCAAAGCAAGGCAAAAAAATATTTCATATCTTGCTCACAAGCAGTCCAGGTCCCTTGCACAATCTTGCTTTCACTGTCAGCAGGTAGAAAGTCCAGCCAACTGTTGCAAATATCAAGGTATGCTCCCTCCAGAGGGAGTTCAGACATATTTCTATTGCTGACTGATGTGGCAAAAGAGACTTGGTTTAGTACATACAGCACATTGGGAGATCATGAAGTAGGACAGCTGACAGTCCTCAAGAATCAGCATAGTTACATTTATGACTGCAGACCAGCTTACTCAGCTCCTCCATTTTTCCATCATCTCACAGCTTCTTATTAAGCAGGACTTCCCT